TGTAAACATTTTTTTTCTAATGTAATCCTGGTCACCAAGGCAATGTATGAATTGGGCCTATGTACTATAGGTATGAGCCAGAGATTCATTGTTGCTGTTTTGAATGCCAGCTCTAGAACATGTAGTTACAAGGAAGATAGTACCTCTCCTGACCTTGAAAGTTTCATTGACTCACCTCTCAATAATCAGAAACAGATCCTGTTTGTAAGGGATTCCAGCCACTGAACAAGGTTACCAAATCCGAGATAATGTCTTATAGTCAGCTTTGATCCCCAGCATCTTTTTCTTTAGAAATTAGTGGCTGTGAAAATACATGATTTGAGCTTGAACATAAGGCTCCTTTTGACAAACTTCACTTTGATAAAAAGATCTGCAAACCAATCCAATTTATAAAGGCAGTTAAGTTGGAATAATTGGACTTAAGCCAATTTTTACCCATTGTCATCTTAAATATAAGTACTGCAATTCTACTGGTTTATAGATTGCTTGCTTTGCTACTAAACTACAAGATGTGGTTTCCACAAAGTGGGGAAAACATGCCAACTGAAGTTTTCAACTGGCAATTTCACTTATGATTCCTAATGTTCTGTTCATACAAGAATGACTTGATGCAGCTGCTGCTTGATGTCATTTTTAATCAGATCAGGCTGGACTTTGATTGCATCATGTTAAAATATTTCTAAGTATATAATGGAGTCAGGACAAAAGCAAATATATTCAGTTCACCAACTATTCTTCAGGCAAAAAGCTATTTATTTTCATTCCCTAAAGAGGGTCTTGTGTAAGAGGTAAAATGTCAGAAATGATCAAGATAAATGTTGGTTATTACAACTTCACCCTCCCCTCAAAAAAGATGCATCTTTTGTTCATAGAAATGTTAACACACTAAGGTTAGCTCAAGTCATAGCTCCGCATAAATTCCTATGAGGTATTTTCATGTGCTAAATAACAGTCAAATATACTTCCCTTTATTTCTGAAATAGTTTCAGCATTTCACAAAAATAAATGTTGTTTAAAAGACAATTCCAGAAGTATAGCCCCAGGGAACTATTGCTGTTGGTGGTTTTTCTAAATCACATCTTTCACCTTTGGTTTTGCCAAGTCAAGTTTTGTTCAGAGATTAGACTTTTTCCTCACTTATCTTTCAAATAGAAGTTAAGAAGATGAATTATGCGTTTGGGCTTTGACTTGTTAGTTTCCATTTCTCATGCAATAGGGATATTTGTACAGCAACTGGAGGATAAATGGAAAGATTGTATGAAGAAAGAAGTGTGTGAACTGACAGAAATATGGCAGAGATTGTACACTAGTTGGTACTGGGCTGCAGCTAAACCTCTCATACCTAGTTAGAATACTTGGTCCTTGTTTCAAGTCCATCCCTTCTTTTCATCCCTTTATGCTCTTTCCAAATATTGTGAAGCACATTTACCAGACAACCTAAGAACATAAGAAGAGTCTGCTGGATCAAACCAATGTCTCATCAAGTCCAACATCTTATTCTCATGGTGGACATCAGATGCCCATGGAAAATGAGCCTCAAGCATGACCCGAGCACAAGAGCACAATTCTCTCCTGAAATTCATTGCTGCCTCTGACTGTGGAGGCACAGCATAGCTATCATGGCTATTGATAGCTTTATCCTCAATGAATTTGTCCAATCTTCTTTTTAGCTCCATGGTGATGCACTAAACTTAGGGGAAGCAAAAGGACACAAGAGCCTCTTCTCACCTCCCAAACAAAGGATGCCTTTCAGATAAAGAAGCACAAGTCACCACTTGCGGTGGTTCAGTTTGATCCACTCTGCAGGAACAAGGTACCAAATAAAATTATACTCTTAAGAGCTGGTTTACTATTGCTCCATCCTCTCATCCCACAAACAAACAAAAATAACATATGGCATTACTTTATATTCAATATAATTTCATGGCTGATGTTTCCTAGCTCTGCTTGCTGATTGTTGTTTTAACTGTAAGTGCTAGGGATCGAATCTGAACCTGATTCATCTGCCCCTGAGCTCTGGGCCTCCCCACCCACAAATCCATTCTCACTTTCTGCATGGCTGATGCTGTAGCCAAAGCAATTGGTAAACCAATTGTTCTGTCCCTGTACATGTGACATTCCATACACAGGCATGTCAGGATTTTTCAACATCTCCCATGACACTCAAAAGACACCATAAAGCAGCACTCCGTGAAGTATTTGGGCTGCTATGGGAAAGGAAAGCCTCCTGTGGGAGAAAGGAGTAGGGCTATAATGCTGATGGGCATATTGTACCTCTACTGTTGGAGGCAATATGCTTCTGAATACCACAGGAGGGGAAGAGTGTTGTTGGCTTTCGATTCTGCTTGTGGGCTTCCCTTAAGCGTCTGGTTGGCCAGAGAAAACAGAATGATGAAATAGTTTTGCTGCTGGCCTGATCTAACAGGTTCTTATGTTCTTATATTGGATGCAGAGTTTTGCTTTAATTTATGCTCCTATATTCATATTTCAGCCCAAAGCTTTATTCTGTCTCCTAAAACCATACAGCACAGTGCAAATGCACAATTTGACCTAATTAGGTTGGTTCAAGATTGCACGAACTTTGAAGTTAAGACTTTTTTAAAAATCATACAGAATTCATTAGAAATTACATGTAGAACAAGGATGGGTCCTAATATGTATATTTTAATTGCAGTATCTGTGTCATAATTTCAAACCCCTTCTGATAGAAAACATGCAAATAAAATCATGAATTGATCAGGTGGAGATTGAAAACTGTTGCATTGGTCCAAAATCTCTATTATATTGAATGAAGGCTGCAGCTGGTTATTTTTTAAAGAGGGAGAACATGTTTTGTGACCAAATTTGCTATCTGCAAAAAGTGTCCTCTTTTCAGAAATAAGTTATTACTTTAAAGTGAGCCAAAAGGTTTGCAGGGCATTTGCTGTTTGCAGGGTGCTAGCTATTGAACTCATGGTTTTTATACATAAATGGTCTCCAATATTATATATAATAAGATTGCCAGTGAACTTTTCTCTTGTACAGCCCAGGACCATCCACATTTGTGTCACAGTGAAGCTTCAAGCACCATTCAGAATGATGGCCTGTCATAATAACAATCTGTTTTTAACTACGGTTCCCTTCTTCCCCCTGTAGATTCAAACTGCAGGAAAATCTGGTGTGAAAAAGCTAAAGGCAAAATAAAACGGCTCCACTTTTTGAAAAGGTGGCAAAGTGCGCATATGGCTCTTGCTGTCACATAGTGAGATTAAAAGGTGTTTATTATTACGCTGTTCCAATTCCAAGGTCACTACTTAAAATCTGTGCTGAATCAGTTAAGGTCAGAAATCTTTACATTCTGGTCACCCATTGACCCAACAACAGTATTAGTGAAGGAAAGAAGATAAAGGAACAACATTAAAATATTTCAGGTTGCATCCAGTGTTAATCCCACCGAGATTAATGATATGACTGACTTAGGTCCACTAATTTCAATGCATCTACTCTAAGTATAACTCAGCCGAGAACTAAGAATGTACTTTAAGATTGTACTTGTAGGATAATATGGTTTCTCCAGTGAATAATCTAGAAAATTATTAATGTCTTGTCTTTTATCTGGTAGGCTTGCTATTCATCCCTTTCCGATGTGAATACACTGGGTCAGATTCAACTAACTGGTTCCACTACACAATGAGGTTCCCCCCCTTCCTCCCCCTGCACCTTCAAAAAGCACACAGGGAGAAGAAAGGGGATATGGTTCCATGAGGCAAGGAGAAATTATTGTGCTGATGGAGCTATCTGCTTAGCACTATGTTAAATTCCTCCCACTGTGTTAAAGTTGTGATGAAGGCCAGTATGTAGCCATCCAGCCACAGGGAGGGTTTGAGTGCTGGCAGAAGCATATTGACCCATAAAAACAAAAAGACACCATTTTGAAGGGACTTGGTACAAGAGGTGGACATTAGCAAGGCAAATGTAGAGTGGAAGCCATTTGAATTTTGGAAAAACTCATGACGTCTCTCCATAACCAATTGAAACAGGATACAAACCCTCTTCAAAAGTTCAAAGTGAACACATGAAGAGTATAGTAGGGTTGCATATGCTAGCCCTATCCTAATGTCCCCACCCCCACAGGAGACCTTTGCATACTAAGTGAGAGAGTCTAATGGAGATTTATAATGAATTTCATCCAAGTAGATTTAAACTTTCTGACTCTGCATGGCTAGATCAAGGTGGTACAAGTGGGATGGGGACACTGAAGGCAGGGGCCGTGTGTTAGCCGCCTTGTGCCCTATACTTTACTGGAATGCCAAAATAAGGCTACAATGTTGTAGGAAGCTGTAGGAAGATTTGAGTGTTCAGTCGTTTTTAGGATGTCCCATGGCTACTCTTTTGTAATTGGAAGGTGGGGGCGTTTTTGTTGTTGTTTGTTTTCTATGTTACGTATTTTTGCATTTTTATATTTTAATCCACTCTATGATCCTTGGATGAAAGGCAGTATAGAAAGTTAATAAATAATATTTAATGTTTCAAGATAAAGTTTTGATACTAGGGATGCCATCTTTTTAAGTACTTGAGTCCTAGACCATTTGTACAGTACAACTAACGCCTTGAGTTTGGTCCAGTAGCTCACTGGCAGGCAACCTGGCAGCCATGTTCTGTGCAAGCCACACCTTTTGAACAATCTTCAAGGGCAGCGTCACACAAAGGTCACTGCAGTCATACAAACATACTACAGGCTCTATTCAAAAATAAGTTCAATCAAGTCCTAGGAAAGCCACAGTGGTTCCCAATTAGTTATATACAGCGTACTCTCTGCTTTTCAAAAGCCAAGCCGTGGATCCCCTACTTTTGAAAATTTTTATATCTCCATAGTAGTTTTTGTTATATGAATGGTGCCACAGATCCCCTGTGGTTTGCAGACCACCATTTGGGAACCACTGGTGTATAGGATTGCAGCCTTAATTCATTCAGCTAACTATTCTACACATACTATTAGAGCAGTGTTTCCCAAACTTGGGTCTCCAGCTGTTTTTGGACTACAATTCCCATCATCCCTGACCACTGATCTTGCTAACTAGGGATGATGGGAGTTATAGTCCAAAAACAGCTGGGGACCCGAGTTTGGGAAACACTGTATTAGAGGACTGTGTGGCACATGCAGTACTATTCTTGTGCTAAATATAGGCTAGGGGAGAGTAGGCTGTGTATGAAAAGGCCAGTGAACTTCTGCTAAGGCTTTTAGCAGGCAACTGGCATTGTTCCAGACCTGTATGGGAATCATATAGCCTAGGAACCTGCTAATCCTCAACCACTCCAGCACACCTCCAAACTGCCCTATTTTCAGCCTCACCCCCAGTGCAGCACCGCTTATGAGACAGTCACACTGGCAGAAAACTCCACTGGCATCCAGGGAGAACTTGTGTCTACAGAAATAAGGATCTGCAATATCCAATGCCCCTAGGCCACCCTTCCAGGGACCATAGAATTTCACCTAAGTCTGCTTTTTACTTACAGTTTAAACCAGTATGAGATGGAAAACTAGTGGCACAACACAAAATCAAACATGTGAATCACTCGATAGTATCTCATCACACATCCTTCTGAAAAAATATAAAATAAACATCTGATGGGCCTTTGTGTCATTTTGAAAAATACATTTTTAATAATATCAAGGTTCTGCCTTCAAAATGTACTGTGAAAAGGAGATTGGTGAAAGGCAGAAAATGATCAGTATTTTGAAGAAACGGAATGATGTTTTTGCCTTTTCTTTTCACACACTTTTCTATTCTCTTTTGAGTTTGGCTAAGCTTTGACTCACCCCTCAGCCCTGCAAAAACTTAACAATATTTGCTTCAGAGGTCATATTGGGTCTTTTTTGGCTTGCTCCCAAATTAGCTGAAATTACTGGGTATACAGCAAAATGAAGACTATCCTTTAAAAACTCTTAATGAAAGAAATCACTTTGTTCCAGAAAGCATTTCTATTCTTCTTTCTCACCTATATATGTACTCTTTCTCCCCTGCCCCCCCAAAAAAACTTTAAAACAAGTTTTGAAATTTATCATGGCCATTCCCTGGTGTATATCTGCTTTGGAGAGATATCTAACTGTATTTGCTATTCTGTTTTCCAGACAGCAGCTTGGCTAGGCTTTGAAAAGAGGATGTTAGCATTTTTAAAGCCTTTCCCCCCTTTTTATTATATGAATCAGTGTTCTTGGAGAAGTCAAAGTTCAGTCCTCCTGCTGCATTACAATGCCTTTCAGCCCGATATTAGAGAGCAAGTCCCATTTTACTTTGTAATATGAAGCTTCACTTCGGCATTAATTCCATTCGGAAAGCAGCTGCGCTTATAATAGATTCCTTTTAAGCAAAATGGAAAAATATACATTTATCAAATAACTTTCTTTCAGTAGTGCTGCTACAGTCTTTATTGCATCAAAGTTGTCAGCAATCAGCCCATCTTTCTGAATAAAGATGTGCCAAATCCTAGCATCTGACTGTATATTGAATAAGCAATGAGCGAGCTCCAGGAGAGCATCTGTCTGTCTCCTTCTATCTCAGCTATTATAATATATATTTATTTATGCTCACATTACCTTGTTGCATCCTGCAAAGCTGCTGGGTATTTATTTGCTAAACATACATTTAAAGTGACACTCTCACAGTTAACACCACATTTACACCAACATTTTTGCCAGTATTGCTAAGAACAATATATTAAAGCTTAGGAGGGTTGCAATCAAATGTACTTTTAAACACACTTCTGGGGGCTATTTTGTAGGACTGGAAAAAAGACTAATTGTCTCAAAATGATACCCATGTTAATGGGTTGCAGCAAAATGGCATTGTCCTCCTATGGCATCTTAAAGGCTATCAAATTTATTGTAGCATCAGCTTTTGTACTTAAGATGAATAGTTACACTGGCATTTGAGTTATTACCTTGTAGATGAAAAAACTATTAATATTTTCTATGATGTGTATTTTTTTGAGGTTGTTCATTGCTACAAATGCAGTAATGTACAAGGGTTTAAGTTGAAGAGAAGACAGGAATATAGGAAGCTGCCTTATACCAAATCTTGATCTATCTAGAACCATCTAGATCCTCCCACTCAGATTGCAATGACTGCAGATGGTCTATACAGGAAGAGGTACATACCCTCCAACATTCTGCTGATGAAAATCAGGACACACACCTTTTTGTGTTGTGCTCCCATGTGAGGTAGCTGACTCGTGCAAGAGCACAGCACCACTGCAAGCACTAGTGCCACATGCTCCTCCTTAAGCTTGGCGACTGTGGCAGCACTGGAGGCCGAAACAGAACATTTCAGGATCCAATCAGAAGCCAGGATGCAGGATGGCTTCTGTAGTTCCAGGTTCTCCCAGGAAAATCAGGACGGCTGTGGGGTATGCAGGCAAACTCTCAGATAACCCCCACCCCAAGCTGTGATCAGCTCTGTTATAGAAAAGCAAATGCAGGTGTTTATATTATGCTTTAATTTCTTACCCAGCCAGGTTAGGCCAGGAAAAGCCACTGGTTATCCACCCAATCTGGTGATGGCCCTTTAATGGTCTTTGAAACACAAACATTTGCCTTTTTGTTCTCATAGAATGATACAAGAACCCCCTGTCTTAACAGCACACTCTGCCTTGTATTGAAAATCATTATTTAAAAGTAGGAAATGGTTTTCTTTCAAATAGCACGCTGTTCAGCATGTTCCTCAAGATGCATCTCAGGCACTTACTGGCACTTTGACAATATAATTATTTCCTGCCATAACATTTACCACTAAATTGTTCTTAATATCCAAATCTAACCTAACATAAACCCATAGAGATCAGAAAAGTTTGCTTTTATTTGTTACAAGTAATTTTCAGCCCATCCTGCCTGACAGCTAAATAGACGCTTGATTGGAAAGCAATTAACATATTGAAAAACCTGTGGAAAACAACTTATTTTCAATCAATGGCAAGCGGGTGGAAATGGCAAGCACTGCAGTGCTACCATCTGTGTGTCTATAAACATAGGTCCAAGCACTTTCATTCTGACCACAGCACTGCTATGATTTAGAGATGTCCTTGACTGCCTGCTTCACCAGAGTATAACACCATTGTTAGTGCCAATCTCCTTGTGATATTTAAAAACTGGACAGATGTCTTCAAGACTTCTTTTTTATCAATTGGACAACTGAAAGCCATTGTACACCTGGCTTTTAAAATGGCTGAGTTTTTTAAAAGCACATATTCATGAATATTGATGCATTTAGATCAAGAAGCCATGAGTTTTTGCATTACCTGATGATGTGCCAGTGTCTTCCATTTGTTTGATTGGGGTGTCATTGTAAAATGCAGGCATAGCATTTATTTTCTGTTAACCTGGAGATGAGTCTCCCCACCACCAATTTTTTACAAGCTGGGGTTGGATCAAGGACGTTTTGAAAACATCTGACAATCTGAAAGTGTAACCTGCCCTAATTCTTTACAGTATTTTTAAAATTAGAGAATAAAAAAATCTCTGAGTGCAGTTGTAAGAGACTGGTTGATCTAATTGATCCCATCCCCCCAAGGGAAGCTACATTTCATTTAATTAAGAGCAGAGCCACCTGCTTGGTGTAGTAGTGTCTAATAACTCACTTCCATCAGCAGATTAGGGCAGCATGTTTAAATGATGTGCAGTTCCCAAACACTGCCACAAAAAGCTATGGCAGTGATTTTTAGGCCGTGGTAGCATTAGCTGAGTTATAGCTTTTGGGCACAACAAATCAGATCTGAAAAAACCTATGCTGAAATAATGAAGTAATAAGGAAAAGGACCTTTTTGTATAATAGCTTAACAAAATTAGGGTTTAATAAATGATAACAATGATCTGTTCACTCAAAGTGGACAAAATCAAAGATCTAAAAAGAAATTATGAAAACCATGTTGCATCTTTATATTGAGTTCCAAGGAGCCATTTCAAGTTCTAATATCATGAATTGGCAAGACTACAATGTAATTGGTAAAGACAAATACTGTAGTGAAATATGAAGGATTTCCTTTGTTGCATAATTCAAGATGCCAGAAGCCAGATCTGTTTTGTTTTACTGGTGTAAATCCACCTTCTCTCTTCACCAGTGGAGGGCCTAATTAGACATTATATGCAAATATGCCCCTTTTAAATAGCCCTTTATAAAAAAGAAATGAAAATCACTTTCTTTTTATTAAGATCAGGGACCTAGTAAGTGATCCTTCCTCCACCCACTCTTTCTCTGCTCCAATTCTCCCTCCAAGCCACTTTCCCCCCGAAAATGTGGGTATCTCTCACATTTGGAACTCAGCCACAAAAACAAATGTTGCCCTTCTACAGCAGCAGTTCTCTTTTTTAAGAAGAGTGAGAAGGACTGTCTGGTAAGGCAGGCGACAGTAGATCCCTCAGCAAACCCCTGGTATATTTGAAATCCAGCTGCCACATGATGCTGCAGTGATCATGGCTGCCACATCCAAAAGGGAACCCTTTGTGATTGCACTTAACAGAAACAACTGGTGCCTGCTCCCTGCCCCGACTCCACAAAATACACATTTCACAGAAGAAAAAGTGTTGAACCCCTTCAATAAAGCAACACCTCTAAGACAATAAAATAGAAAAAAAACAGGTGCCCCCAAAATAGGCAGCACTCCCCACAACAAAACAGCAACACATGCTGTAAAAGCCACTCATTAAAAAAATTAAATAGAGAGGTGCAAAGAGCCTCGGCAGGTGTTAAGGAGATGTTTACGGGTGGTGTTTAACTGGTAGGGTGCCCTACCAGTTGCCATGTTGCAGACCCTAGGAACATAAGAAGAGACTGTAGGATCAGGCCAATTGCCCATCTGGTCCAGCATCCAGTTCTCTCAGTAGCCAGTCAGATACCTATGAAAAGCCCAAGTGTATACATGATGCAGGGAAATGTCCTGAGAGGCAAAGCTCATCTCATGCTGCGTTGTGATCCATATCACAGGAGGGGCATGCACACAAACTGCTATTTTCAGAAATTTAAACCAATGTAGAAAGGCTTTTTTGGTTCCCATAAACTGCAGAGGATTTGGATTAATGCTGGGGGTGTGTGCTCTTCTCTATGCTCAATATGGGAACAGTTAG